AAATCAGATCTGACTGGTACAGGAGGAGATTGTCCCTCCTTCCCCGGCAGAGCATCTGGTGGATTCGAACCGTGCACCTCTGGGATTGTAGTTGCCGCTCCTTACCACTAGGCCACCAGAGCTCCCTAGGAGTACATTTCTATAAAAGCAATAAATCCCACTTAACATGAGAATGTGTGTGGTTCATCCTACAAGGAAATCTTTCCAGAAGTTCTGTGCTCCTTAGGTTAAGGAAATCAGTGTAACAGGTAGCCAACACCATTAGTCTGAAGAATCTTACCTGCTTTCACACAAAAATAACTCCCTTTTCTCTACATTGACAAGGACTCTTCTTTATCTGAATAGCATGTTGTGCTACTGACCAAAAGGGCTAGTGTCTCCAGTGATTCAAAACCACCATCTGCGCTGTAGGAGGGAGAAGGGTGTTCTCCTCTCATTGCAATTTACAGCAACCAGAGACCCACAAGGTCTTCAATATGAGTTGGAATCAACTTAACAGCAGTGAGTTTGAATTCAAGTACTTATCAAAGTGTGGTTTCCTATTACAATATCATAATGTTGTTGTTGTTGTCGTTGTTATTGCTATGGGCCGTCAAGTCGCTTGGGACTCATAGTGACCCTATGTACAACAGCCCTAAACTCTGCTCTGTCCTGTGTCAATCGCACTGTCTCTGACACACCCATGGATTACCCCAGTCACTGAATCAATCCACCTCATAGAGGGCCTTCCTCTCCTGCCCTGTCCCTCGACCCTCCCCAGCATGATATCCTTCTTCAAGGGCCCATCCTTCCTTACAACATGTCCAAAGTATGTCAGATGGAGCCTCAGAATCCTTGCCTCCAAGGAGTAGTCCGGTTTAACCCTTTCCAGGATGAATCTGTTTGTTTTCCTAGCAGTCCATGGTACCCTCAATACTCTTCTGCACAACAGCTCAAAGGCATCAATTCTCCTATCCTCCTTAGTCATTGTCCAACTCTCTGATGCATAACAAGTGATTGCAAAGACCATGGCCTGTATCAGACGCACCTTAGTCTCCAGAGAGACACCGCTGCTCTTCAGTACTTTGGAGAGGTCTCTAACAGCAGACTTTCCCATAGCAATGCGCCTTTTAATTTCCTGGCTGCTGGTGCCAAGACTGTTGACTATGGAGCCAAGCAAACTAAAGCTGTGAACAATCTCAATCTCTTCACCATCCATCCTGATGCTGCCAATTGGGCCAGTGGTGAGATGGAGAAAATATTGACACTGTCAATGATTTCCTATAACTTCCACAATCAGCTCCCATGGCAGCAGCAATCAAGAAATCAAAAGACATTTTGCATTGGGAAAATCTACTGTAGAGGACTTCTCCAGAATACTCAAGAGCAAGGATATCTGTGTAGACTATGCTGAACCTGAACCTGATTCAATTGCTTTGCATGCATCTGAAAGTTAGACAATGAATAAGAATGACAGAAGAGGAATTGATGCCTTTGAGTTGTGGTATTGGAGAACAGTACTGGGTAGATATCTCTTGGATTGTCAAAAGAACAAACAAGTCTGTCTTTGAGGAGAAATGTAACCCAGGTGCTCCTTAGAGGCAAGGGTTATGAAACTTCATTTCACATGCTTTGGGCATGAGCTGCCAGTTCTTGGGGAAAGACATCATGCTGGGAAAGATGAAGGGTCAGAAAAAGAGAGAAAAATCCTCAGCAAGATGGACTGACATGGTGTCTAGAACAATGGACTGGAGGTATGTATGTATGTATGTATGTATGTATGTCTGAGGTCATGCAGATGGTGCTGGATTAAGCAAGATTGTTCACAGGGTCACTATGAGTCGTAGTCAGCTCAACCTAACAACAAAATATGGTCCCTGGATTAGCAGCATCAGCATCACTTGGGCTAAGTGAGGAATGGACCTCACTCCAGACTTGCGGGATCAAAAAGCCTGAGAGCTGGTGCCAAGCGCTCTGGGTTGTAACCAGTCTTCCAGGTAATTCTGATACACACTCAAGTTTAAAAGTTTCATTCTAAACCCACTGAAATACATGTGAAAAAGACATTAGAAATACAATCCGGATCAATTTAAGATTAAAGGAGAGCCCAGACCAATGCCCCTTGCTATAAAATGTTCAAGATCAATCTAACACTCCACTATTTTCCACGAAACAGTTCAACAGGCAATTAAATGAACTCAGCACATTTATTTTAAATGTGCAAAATGAATTTTCATATCCGAAGAGTAACACCAGATGTTTTACCTCTTTTTCCTAATTGATTTTCCAGCCTACAGCAATTCGTCTTTATACTTTCCAGTTGGATCCTAATGTAGCAAGAAGAGTGTGTTCCGGCAGGATTATTAAATGCCATGCATTTTAAAACAAGCATAACTCAGGCTGCCATGCGTCATCTGGGTGATTGTCTCTCCAAAATATAAAAAACAGACCTCTATAGGTAGGTATCAGGAAAGAAACTCAAGAGAAGGCCCTTTCAAGGGGGTTGTGTCTCTGGCCTCTTGGCTGATTGGCTCTAAAGCTGAGTCCTGGGCATTCAGCCCAAGCCTGAGCTCTTCCCCACAGAGCCCAGCACTCCCTGGTACCAAAAGAATTGCTAGCTGTAAAACCTGCAGATAAACATTTTGTTTTTCAATGGGGAGTTTTGTCTTTCAAACGAAGGAAAAAAATCAGCTATGAGGATGGAGGAGTGAGTAGGACTGAAGAGCCAAGTTGTGCAAAGAGGCAGTCAGGTGAACCTTCTCCTGCTTCCCTCTGTGCCCCGTGTTGACCAACCCAGCCTGGCTGAGCAGGAGGCTTTGCAACTATTGGTATAAGTGGGTGAAAGGTTACCAGCAACCAGGCTTCATTTTTTGTATTTTTATTTTAACAAGATTCTTTAGAATCTTCAGGGGAGATGGGGGAAAGGCTCAAGCTTTGAAGCACAGGTATCTTCTCTGTTTTTGCCCTGGAATGGCTAGTGCTGGGAGCAGCAAGAGAGAGTGGTAACTATATTCTGGTGCTAATTCAATGAAGCTCACATTTAGGGAGTTGAGGGGTTGCAACTGTCTGCTCTCTTCCCTAGAAGCTTGAGCCATCATGCAGCAGCAGGATTTTCATGTTGTCTCTTGAGTATAAATCTGCCTGTCTAGCTATGAGTAGCACCGCAGCAGTCTTGTCAAATTTCTGAAATTAGAGCACATCATAATTAAATCTCTAAATTCAGCTGCTTCAATTTTAAATAACAACCACACCAAAACTCCTGTGCTCTACTATATGGAATCCTGGGGACTTAGAATATTCTCCATTCTTCAGACACAAAGCCAAATCAAAGTTTGGTCATCTAAGAACCGACTGCTTATAAGGGTTCTTCCCCATTTCCTGAAGTTCCAGACCCTAAAAGTAATAACTTAGAATTTCATGGGAATACTGTATAATACCTTGATGATCACAGGAGATGGTAATCAGCCTTCTCAAACCACAAAGCCTGGACCACAATGATTAACAAAAAAGGAGGAGGGGGGTTGGAAACCATCTAAATTTAAAATGGGCAAATGACAATTTTTCAAGTATCAAAAAACATGATACAAAGATTATGTAACAGACTTGGATACTGCGTAAAAGACGTTAATAAATAAAATCAAGGCTTCTGGCCTCATCTAATTGGATTGAGCACCGGGTAGGCCAAGGAGTTTTGCACTGGATGTGTAAATAACCCATTGATTGTGCTTTGAGAATCAACCCAGTGATCAAATCCACACGGCATGCACCTCCCTCCAAATGGGATTCACCTTAATTCACTACTTTCACTATGAGGTTAATATCATCTCCATTTACCACTTTCCCAATGGAGTTAGTGAAAAGGACTGACCCTGCCTAGAAGAATTCTCCCACCCCAAATTCTCAAGGATAATTATATACACAATTAAGCCACAGGAGCCATTTTATAAATGTCCTCATCATAGTCTTTTAATATTTTACATAAAAAAACTGTATACACAGCTTATAGAACTTTTATGTAAACATCATAAGCTCACCACTTTGTCATTTGTCAGTTTATTTAAAAAATAAAAACAAGACAACAATTTAGTAGAAGTACCACTGGGGAGGAGGGGAGAAATAAGAGAGTAAGGGCAGGTTTATTCTCTGTACAGAGATGCAGAGAAACATTCACATAGTTTAGAGACTGCATTGTGGGGAAAAAAAAGTTTTAAATAGGTCCCAATGCGTATTTACTGCCATTTATCACAGTAGTGCATGTAACCTGCACAAAAGAAAATAGTGTTAGAAAACAAAAATGAAAGGGTTTTTCACCCTCTCCTTGTTTTTTCAGAAGTCATCATAAAAAGAAAAACAAAAAACGTAAAAACAGAAGTAGATGAGGTTACAGTGTACAAGTGCGGCCAGAATGCTACTGCCTTATGCAAAATGACAAGTGCATTAAGTGTCAAACAATGAAACAATTGTGCAAAGAATATTTTTGGAAGAAAAAAAATAAACTCAAACCATTTTTAGCCTTTAAATTAGTCAAATAAAATCTGTTTCTTGGATTGAACAATTTTCACTTGTAGAACAGGCACAAAGTTCGCTTATGGCAAAAACAACCCCGCAAACACACCCTCCCTCCTCCTGCCCCAGCGGCTGGTGAGGGGTTCGCAGGAGACGCTGTGTCTGGAAGCTGTGTCCTCTCAGCCCCCAGTCAGTTCCCAAAGTCTTCCCAGGATTCGCAAAGATGGTCAAGTCCAATTCATGCTTGGCTGGGCGCCTGACCCAGACTGGGTAGGCGCTATTCTAGCGCCCTTTCACTCCAACCACCATCACCATTAAATAACACCATCCTACCTCCGAAAATAAAATTATATCTATATTTATATAACCACACCCCCCATCCTCCCCAGCCCTTCCCTCCCGCAGTCCCCGGGGTCTATGTTACAGACAAGGGATGACAGGCGCTCGCTGGCTCTGGGTGAACAACTGATGGGGCGCGGCCGACCAGGGCGCCGAGCTTGGCTCCGGGGACCAGAGGCGGGGACGGGGGTAAACATGGGGCCAGGGGAATTGAACATAAACACAGCCACACACTCTGACGCCTAGCTCTTCAGAAAAGGATGCTCAGGGGCCCTTGGCACTCCGCGGGGGCGCCCGGGCCTGTGCGATGCAGCCGGACGCACACAGACACTGGGAAGGGGGCGCCCAGTCCCTCCTACGTCCGCCGGTAGCCGGCGCGAGAGCCAGAGCCGCCAGCGGAGGACTGCCGGTCCGAACGGCAGAAACCAGGCAGTCCAGTGGGGTGGTTCCGGGACGCGGGTCTCCCCCTTCTCCGGGTTGGTGGGAGCCGGCGCCAGGAGGGGGAGCCGCTGGTCGGGGCAGGCGGGGGCCGGGCGCGGCCCTCATAGCACCTTGCAGCAGTTGATGCAGCCGTTCTGGGAGCCGTAGCGCTTCTGCAGCGCGGCGCGCGTGGCCGTCTCGAAGACCTCGCGCACTCCCTCCTTGGTCTTGGCCGAGCACTCGAGGTAGTCGTAGGCTTGGATGCGCACGGCCATGGCGCGGCCGTCATCCGTGCGTACCGGCTCCTGCTTCATGCGGGCCAGCTCGGTGCGGACGTGCTCGTCGCTGCGCAGGTCTTTCTTGTTGGCCACCAAGATGATAGGCACGTTGGGGCAGAAGTGCTTCACCTCCGGTACCCACTTCTCGGGGATGTTCTCCAGCGAGTCCGGGCTGTCCACCGAGAAACACATGAGGATCACGTCGGTGTCCGGGTAGGAGAGTGGCCGCAGGCGGTCGTAGTCCTCCTGGCCCGCCGTGTCCCACAGCGCCAACTCCACCTGCTTGCCGTCCACCTCGATGTCGGCCACATAGTTCTCGAAGACGGTGGGCACGTACACCTCGGGGAACTCGTCCTTACTGAACACGATCAGCAGGCACGTCTTGCCACACGCGCCGTCGCCCACCACCACGAGCTTCTTGCGGATGGCCGCCATGAGCGGGCCGGGCCCAGGCAGCAGGAGGGGCCCCGCGAATGCCTCGCTGCCGTCCCGCTCTCCGCTCACCTCGGGCTGCGCGCTGGGGGAAAGGGTCGCTAGCTGCAGCCAGGCCCAGCGGTGGCGCTTTCGCTCGGTGTGTTCCGGCTGCCGCGGCGGGGGCGGTGGGAGCGCGGGGGCATAGGGCGCACTGCGAGGCTCCTGGCCGCTGACCGCTCGTCTCGCCTCCGGCGTGAGGTCGGTGCCTTTGTGCGGAGAGGGCTAGTCAAGCTACAGACCCCGCCTCGCTCCCGCCTGTCTCTAGGCCTCACCAAAACACACACAAGAGAGCAAACCAAAAGAACCAGACTGCGGTGGAAGATGCAGGCTGCGGCCCTAGCGCCCGCTATTTAAAGAGTTTGGCCACTTTCTTAATATAGCCGCCCAATGGGAAGCCAGCCGGCTGAGCTCATCGCTGCGGATCTTGACTCTGATTGGCTCTCCACTACAGACCAAAGGCGGGGACGGGCGAGCTTGATTGACGGCCTAGGCCGCGGGGCTGGGAGAGGCGGTGACTTGGGAGTCTGCGCCAGAGCTGGCGCCGCAGGGATCTGGCGGGACGGTGGCAGACCCTGGGATCCCTCGCCACGTCTTCTGTCCTCTTAGCCAGGTGCCAGAAACCAGCTTCTTGAATCCCGCGGGACCTGAGCAAGGGGCTCCGGGAGAGGCAGCACTTTATAAAGCGTTGGTGGTTCCCTCCCACTCAAAATTGTCAGCGTCTGAGCAAACTCCCAGTACATTAAACTCCCAGCAGGTTGCTGGACCTGTATGGTAGAGATGACTCCTTTAACATGGTCCCCTTCCCTTCTTAGACTTCCCCTGTACTCGCCACAGTGGAAGCCTTATGTTGGACACATCAAGAGAGTGGGTTAAGGCCAAGTGTCCCAGTTCTTACCAGTCCTACCGCTTACCCCATTTCTGCACCCAAGCCACCAGCTGGGGGCCTTAGAGGCTTACTGGAGTGAAGTTGGGCTGAATTGCTACAAAACTTCACATGTACTTTGAGAA